TATTCACTCTGATTTTGAACAGAAAGATTTCATAATGCCTAATATGCAAGCAGTCTCTAATTAAAAAGGTGAGATTCGATTTAAACGAGTGACATTCTTTTGATATTGCTGTTTTGAACAGTGAATCTATAAAAACCTTTCACGAAGTCTCATCAGATGAGTTGCCAATCTAAACTGCTGGAACAGAGGGATAAAAGTAGGAACTCACACACTGTAGCAGTCTTTTGTGTCTGCATTGCTTTTCTTTTGCTCTGTGTTTGCACATCTGACTACTATAATGGGCGCATTGTGCCTCCCCAGGATCTGCTCATTGAAAGCAAGCACGCACAAGCTACACAATGCACACAAAGAGCAGAGAGGCAGGGTCGTGCTCTAGCAAAGCTGAAGGAATGATCACTGGAATCCTTGACAAAAGGGGGAGGATAAACTACAGTTCTCACCAATCACCTGGTTCGGAGGCCTTTAGATCATGATTTCCCAGCAATCATCATGCTAACACCCTTTTCCCTCCACAGCACCTCCACCAATGCAGCATCATACAAGACTTCCTATCTCATGAAATTCGAACATGAGAATCAAATTTATTTGGTATCCTCTGAAACGTTATTATTTTGATCATGTTTCAATAATTGCACCTCTGCTAAACCTCACAGGCTACGATCATATTTGGTTTCTGTTTCACCTGAGCTTGAAGCAACACGGGCATACTTAAAGAAAAACTAGATAGATTTGCTTCAATCCTCCAAAGCCACCACTGTTTGATTAACAGGTTTGATTGTTACCACGGTTTGATTGCTTACAGCAGTGGTTCTCAAACTGTGGTACGCGTACCTGTAGTGGTACGTGGCGTGCCGCCAGGTGGTACGCCAAATGACCCTGGAACTGTGTTGTGTGCGCTGAAAAAATCGGGACGGGTTTTCATATTTTGTATTTTTATACGTGTCGAATACGCAGCCTACGCACTACGATACACTGCGCGCTAATACTTCAGTGGACACAAGAGATACTCTGTAATTCTATACCACTCTATAGGAATGTAGAGTGCTACGGACGCAAGTGACCAATTGTATTTAAAAAAATCTACTGTATCTCCACCAAATAGGGAGAAAGGAGAATGTGCGTGATTTTGGAACAATGCCAATGTTGTAAACACAGGAATGCATAGAAATGCAACACTGGTAATCTTGTGAGCACAGGAAAGCGTGAAAAATAACAGAAAAATAATTAAGAACTCTTCTAAGTTAATTTGAGAAAAATACACCGAGTGTCTCTGTGTTTCTCTCCCATGCGCATGAAATACTTAAAATAAACACTGAAATAAAAACGGAAACGTGGAAAAATGTAAGCTTGCAGATTGCTAAAGCAGGTAAGCCCCACACTATTATGTGGAGAAAAAGCTGCTGAACAGCTCGACCTGCTGCCCCCCCTGAAAGACACAGTCATTCATAGAATTATTGAAATTAAGGATTATATCAAAAGTACGCTGACAGAGCGCGTTAAGATGAGCAGATGTTTTTCACTGCAATTAGATGAGTCTGTAGTCGATTTGGCCAATGTGATCGTTTACATTAGATACGAGTTTGAGGGTACGTCCCGTGAGGACTTTCTGTTCTGTAAGCTGCTACCAACAGGAACTACAGGAGAGCACATATTTCAGCTTCTGAATGAATTTAATCGAAGAGAATGGCATCGACTGGATAAAATGTGTCGGAGTTTGTACAGATGCCAGAGCGATGACAAGCAGACACAGTGTAGTTGCACGAATTAGAGAGGTTGCTCCAGAAATTAATGGTTTCATTGCAACATCCACCGCGAGACCTTTGCCGTCAAGAAAATGCCTGACGATTTAAAATCTGTTAGACTGTTGTGAATTGTATCAAGGCTCGAAAAATTAATTCACATCTGCTTTGCTCGACTAAACAGGCTCACCCCTCTCACTGAAATGGTGCTTTTTTAGTTTTATTTGTTGTTGTTTTTTTCTGTATAACACTTTGAGAAGCCACATTTTAATATATCAAACAAAGTTTATTATAATATTTATTATATGTATGTGTGAGTGTGTGTGCACAAGCACTCATGTTGGTCATTGAGAATTCCTGGGGTTCCTATGAGAAGATGACTTGTAGGTGGTACTTGGATGCTTTGGTTGGATTAGGGGTGGTACTTGGTCCAAAAAGTTTGAGAACCACTGGCTTACAGTTTTAGGCATGCTCAAGTGCTTGTAGTATTTTACAGCAAAAAGTCTCAATATCTCCAGAGAGATCAGAAGACAAATATCAGATACCAACATGTACCCCATGTTTATAGCAGCCACTTCAGAAAGAATGTAAAGAACCTCAGAGAAATGGCAGAAAGAAAATAAAAACAGCACAGAGAACCACAGAACCAACTGAACAGCATGTGTATAATTTAGATACCTTGTGCATATTAGTGGACATTGTGAATATCAACCCCATTCAGTGTCATGTTCGGTCATACATTTTTACATCCACGTCAACTTTTTCATGATTAAAATGAATTTTTTCTGTTCGTGGTTCTTCAATTTTGGAAAAAACATGTTTAAAAAAGTCTATACCAGAGTGACAGTGACTCAGTAGGTCAGAGAGGATTTCTACAGGTGTAAGAGGACTAAAGAGCATGTGAGTCCCCACTGGTTGGGACACGATATATGGATAGATCTGTTCTTAATTGTACAGGGCCTCCTGAACAACATTTCACTAGCCTTGAGTACTGAGTTTTATGTACAAATGAAGATACACATTACTGAAATATTCTCTTTATTTTTCTCTTTTTTTTCTTCTAACAAAGGACCTGTGCAAGCTACATTGATTCAAAACTGCTACGTTACCTAATGGAATTGATTGAGCAACAGTGTAAATGATAGTTTAAGACAACAGGAGATTAGTTTACAACCTTGGCCTTGTGTTAGGGAGTTAACACAAGACCTTGGCAGAGAGTTATGTGCCTCAGGCTGTCAGGTACAATAAAAACCTGCAGCAGTGACACTCATTTCTGACCCTAGAAAGCCATAGCTGTACCACTGTAAAAGATATGCAATCTAGAAGTCACCATGTCTAAAGCAGTCCATTCTCTTAACAAGCTACTGTAAATAAACTCATTCTTGGCTTAATGGGACCAGTTTAATAGCTTCTTCTAGCTCTTCAGATGCTGCTGCTTTGAAAAGACCTGGAAAACCTGCAGACACACCAGCCCTCCAGGACCAGGACTGCCTACCCCTAATTTAGATCTATTAATCCTATTAATGTCTCAATTTCCATGTCAAAGACTCATATAGGAAAACAACCAGTGAATGCCTCTGGGCTATAAGAATAAAGACATAATGATCTGTTACAGCACTATAAGGAAAACACCTGAAGGCAAGGGCAGGACTTGGCATGTACTGAATCATCTGATAGATGATCAAATGATTCTGGATGGAGAGGTGAAGAGATGAACATTAAGGGGAGAGAGGGGGTAGACTTTCACAGCACTATTCCCATAAATCATACATGTCACTTTACAAAGCAGTATCACTTCACACAGCAGAACTTCACTGACCATTTACAGCACTCTCATGGGAACAATAACACAGCACAACAGACATTAATAACAGGCACTCACAGGTACCAAAGGTTATGGCAGCCACTAAGGAAGATTGTAAAGAACAGGGTGGAAGACTGGAGAGCTGCACTCTCCAGTGTATTAAACACTGAGTGGGGAGAGAGGAATTCTTCTTCTGTATATCAAGCATACTGTACATAGCTTCTGTAAGAACATTTAATGAACATTCACAGCTCAGATACTGCCTGGAGGCACATATTTTCGTTTCTCACCGATTTACACAAACACCTGTGGAAAGTAAGCTTTCAGTTTCTATTTCCCAACACACTAGTAGCCTTCACAGCTATATTATCCAGGAGCTTGCAGTTTGTACATAAGGTGTACAGTAGAATGCTTGATGATCAACATTTTTTTTCTGGCTGCAAAGCTAAAGCAAGATATGAAAGGGCCACAGAAGTGCATGGCATGTAGGAGATGCGTCTCTCATTTGTCAAATTCATTCAGTGTTTATGTATCCAGATTTCCACTTTCTCAAGACAATGAGAGCAGTAGGTTCTTTTCAGAGCTTCAGACACACAGCTGTGGTTAAAAGCCTTTTCTGATGTAAAAAGTCATCAGATAGCGTCTCATTCCTTAGTTAAAAGAGTGAACTTTTGTCTGAGGACAAAGATGTCTATGTATAATCAGACGGGCTAAGAGGTTAACAATTATTCATAATGTTCCCTCAAAAACGTGTTGCCAATGGACAGAGCAAAGGAAGTCACTTGGTGAAGTTTTCAAAAGGATGCAATGAATTATAGATACAAATATGAATTAGTTCTTCACCTAATCTCAGAGCAATGTGGTCTTATGTCTTTTTGTGCATACAGTGTATGTTTTGTAAGCTGAATACACACATACTGATATGGTCTCAGTTTACATCTACTGTACTACTCAGCAAAAATAAATAAATGGTAGTAAATTAAAGTGGTAGAAAAAATGTACTTAGCAACAATGGTGGGCAGTGCTTTAGAGGATGATTAGCTCATTATTTTATTAAAATAGATTTGGGGATAAGCAGTGAATGGGTTTCACATATAAAGAAAAGGGTTGTAGGTTCAGATCACAGTAGAAAATGTTGCTGTACCTTTAAGAAAAGTTATTTTACCCTGATTGAAGTAAAACCGGCTATATCTAAAAAGTAGGTCATGGTAAACACAGTATGCTGTGCTAGCAATATTCTTCACTTCTGCTTACATTTATGCGATAACCCCAGATCTCTGACAAGTTATATACAAACCCATTGTTTTCTGTTAACTAGTCCTCTGGCCAACAAGCCAAAGAGGTTGATCAGAATGAAAAAAGAACAAGGAATTCCAAGTCCTCCGGACCTTGTCAGCAGGAGTTAATATGGTGCTTTAATGGACAGATCTCCTCCACCAAAGACTGCTGCCTCCTACCTTCCAGCATTTCCTTTTGATGGTGTTTCTCGTGATCATCATGGTAGCCCAGAACTGGTTGAAGGACTGTTTCAGCCTCTTATAGTACCTCCTGCAGGCCCAAAGAGAAGGCAGTCATTGCTCCTCTGCAAAGCTCCTTTTCAGATTAGCATCTCCCTTAAAAATAACATTTGGGACGTCCTGGAGCTCCTTACTGTAGTTTACATTCACCTGCATTTTATTTCATGACCCACACACAGACAACACAAACAACCACAGTTGGGTTTTTTCTTGACAGAAATTAAGTACCATCAAATTAAGTAACCTGACAACTAAAAAGACACTGGAGACTAACTTAAGCACACTGACGACCTACCACCCAGATGAGGAAGTGCATTTTTTAATTGCACTGCTGGTATTCATGAAATTGGCATATACAATACCACATTAGTGTATATCCAAAACACCTATTTTCTACAATCATGTGAGAGCTGTGGACTCCAGCCTTGTCTTGGTGTTGTTAAATATTCTCGGTTGGTGGCTACAGATCAAGATAAATTTCCTAATTTGTTCAATGAGTTAAGAATTTAATTCAGCTGGAACTATATCATGAAGGCCCTAATGCACTCTGGGAATGTGTTGGAGACTCACAGGTATACAGAGCAGCTGACCCCTGCTGGCCAGAGAGAAAAAAATACTAAGAGGCCCTGTCTGTCTACAATAGTCCTGCTATTGGGGATTTTAACTGTTCTTTCCCTCCAAACCAGGTTAGTCCGATTCCATCCTTGCTGGGGTTGGGTGATATTCTGACCAGATGACTTCTCTCCCTGCCCCACCTCAACACACTCGATCCTCAGCCCGCTGATCTGAACAGCTCCCCCCTCCCTTCTCACCTGGCCTGGTGTCCGCGGATGTGGGCCTGGATGGTGATGGCTTTCTGCTTGAAGAAACGGAAGTTGCGGCGGCAGATGAAGCCGCGGATGTTCCTCTGGATGGTGATGGCTGCCCAGGTCTGGGTGTGGCTCCAGCGCTCCTCCAGCTTCTGGTGCACGGCCTCCTTCAGGAACACCTGTTCGACAGAAAGTCATGCCCAAGACCTCCCTCACAACAAATTCCCCACTTTTGCGACACAGGTTAAGTGTGAAGTTCAGGTAAATTTTGTTTGGCCACCTAGTCCCCTCTGTATTTATTTAAATCAGAGGTACACACCAGGTAGCATCAGCCCAGCTACTGTACCTTGGTGAGCCCGAACTGATAGTGTCCTGGTTCTGCACCTGGCAGTCTCTCCAGCAGGGCGGCACACTGTTCTCTCTCAGACAAGTGTGCAGGACGCTCTGGCAACAAAGGACCATACCTGAATGGGAGGGAGGTACTGTGACTCTTATGATGTGTTAGATATTGCAGAAATGTGTATGGGTTGAGACAAACATGCAGTAAACATCCCCATTCCCAGACATCAGTCAATAACCTACTGTATTTCTACAGATTTAAGATCCAATGGAAGAGACTCCACTACATATAGACCTATTATACAAAAACAGATCATTCTGCATTTGTTTGTTTTGGATAATTGATCACTACATTCATATATTGGCATATGAGGACTATCAGTGTTTTATATCAGTGTTTTCAGGATGTACAGTTCTGAGAATGGTCTCACATATCTCAAGCTGCAACAGTATTCACTGAAAATGAATGATGTAAAAACCCCATTGTGAACCATCTAATCTGATAACGCTTATGTCTGAGACAGTCCTATTCCATGTTCATGCGATGCTCCCATAAGCCTATTATGGATTGAGGAAACAACAGTTGATTTAAAATCATTATTGGGGACAATAATTGCAGTTGATTTTACTGCTACAGTCATAATATATGAAGTTGCAAAAATCAATATACAGTTAATGCAATCATGCAATGAAAGAACTACGATTAACAGAAGGACAATAAAGGAATTTACTATAAACTCAGGCATATTTTTCTGATTTTGAATTAATTTCTGACTATTTTATTCATTCAATACTGTTTAATTTTGTTAACTTTTCTAAATGTACTGATAGCAGTCCATTCAAAGTGAATGAATCTAAAATACAGGGTACAAATACCTCTGTCTATAACTACAGTTAGTCAATGTTCTATACTGTGTATGGCACTGGAACACTAAGATGACAGAGACAAAGACAAGACTGGGAAGTCAGCTCCAAGAATTACCTGTCTATGAAATAAGAGTAGGAGAGTCTAAGAGGATAGCCCTCTTTCCTGATGTGGATGGTCTCCAAAATCCCAGCGTGCCTCAGCTGCAAGGTCACATAATCGACATCAAATATTCCAGGTAGCTGAGGGAAAAATGGTGCAAGAATTGGAAATTCTACCTTCACGTCTGCAATTCTGAAGATTTTTCAGGTCTCATCAAATAATCAATACCTTGAAACATTAGGATAAGGGTTTAATGCTCTTATAAACCTAAGTTGGACCAATTTAATCTTTATATTCAGTGTCTAAACTGTTGGTGACACAAAAACATATATACCTGTAGATAAGCTAAATGAGTTGTGATTGTGTCTGCTTTGCTTTGAAGGTGTGTGGTGTGGAATATAACAAGAGAAAACAGATTTTAGAAGATACTATCTATATTTTCATAGTGGGACAACATTGAAATCCATCCCATGTGAGCAACACAAAACCTACCTTTTTGGAGTTTGGTTTGAGGCAGCGGATGAAGGTTGTTTTACACCTGTCAGCAAAGAGGGAAATAGGTGTACATTAGACATCACTGAATTAGATGATAGTAGTACAGTATGGGTAAGGTTATAAAACAAGACTGAGTATGCTGGACTCTTGACAGGTTCAAAGCACAACGAAAAAGAGGATCTTTCTTTCAGTAGCTAAATATTGTTTGAAGTAAATAAGTCATAAAAAGAGACATGGACACTAACCCAGCGACATGCCCCAGAAGCCTCACTACACAGCAGATCAGTAGGTAAATTCAGAGGGGTGACAGTAGCCACACTGCTCTCTTTCAAGTACAGGATCAATGGACAGCCAGAGGCCTTCTTCAGAAATCATGTGGATTCAGTTCAGAGCCAAAGAGCTTTGGTCTTTCTAACTGGAACACTGGAGATAGTAAACAGACCTGACAATATATCTGCAACGTTGGCATTGTGAATCACTGTGAATTCAATCAGATAGCTTCCTGCCTACCAGGCTGACCAATAAGACAATGAAGAAATGACACAGACAGCTTGAAGAAAACGATGAAATGTGCAAGGTGCTTGCTTATAGTTATACCTGTTGTATACAAGTTTATATCATAAAATGATATACATGGTGAAAGTCAAACGCTACATTCTGAAATAGCATCTGTTCTCTGTTTTCAGTGTTATTTATGTAACAATACATACCGTACAAGTTGAGTGAGCTGCTACAATTATTGAATACTTAATGTGTGCTTGCCATGATCCAGCTGCTCAAAGAAAACCAGTTTATGCGAGGCTGTTCCTGTGAGGAAACCTTTAAATTAAACAATGCCCCCCAACGTGTGCTACCTCTCCAGACGAGCGGTCAGCTCGGATAGTGACTGCTGAAACCGAGACGCCACAGTGGGGGGGTGCTGGCGGTGACCTTTGCCCCTGACCCCCAGCTCTTTCTGCTGCGCATAGCCTTCCTGTACCTTCATAAACAGCGTGGAGACCATCTGAGCAGATGAGAGGACACTCAACACATCAGGCCACACTCAAGGACTGGGTTTGCTAACTATTAAATGGACACAGTTACAGCAAGCACCCTGCCATTCACACACCATGGGTGTAGCTAGCTGCTGTAAGTATTCCCACACTAAGATGGTAGGCATGCCCACCATTTTAGGGGCCAGAGACTATGTTATGACATAGAAAAAACACTCAGGTGCACTTCGGAAATTCATATTTAACAATGCAGCCTCTGTTTCAGTTCCACCACAGCTTCTTGGTGAGTGCAACAGTGAAGGGGTTTGGATTACTCATTTTATCATGATGGTCACCTTGAAAACAGGCTTCTTTTCGCAGTTTAGCAGCTGGGCTGTTTTTTAGAGACTGCAGTCTAATAGCAAGCATCATAGCTCACCTCTCTTTTCTGAGCTCCTGAGCAGAAAAGCAAAGGTGAATTATGAGGGGAGATGAGAGGTTCCATTCCCAATTATAGCACTTTATTCTATGAAAGGCAGGTCCCAGTGATGGGACTAACACAGCCATCTGCCTCTGTTTTTGAGAGATGGAATATGTACAGTTTTCACTTAAGTACCACTGGCCCATACAAATGAGTTAGTTGCAGACTGTTATTCACCACTGTTCCAGGCAGAGATTACCTTCAACCGGCTCCGTGCGAAGAGCTCCAGGACTTCAGGACGAAACTGGTCATGGTTCTTATTCAGAAAATTGTGAACCTGAGAGCACAGGAAAATAAAAAGAAAACCCTGTCCATCACATCACTAAACTGCTTGTAGCTTTCTAAATTTAGGATGATCTGTTATCTCCATTTGAAATTCCTTGAGAGCACTTTCTCAGCTATTTCCACCAGCTCTCAAGCCCTGCTCTCTGGCTCTGTACATCCACACATTTTTTAGAGTTTCAGTGTTCATTTTTGTATTCAATGTTTTCTTTCAGACATATTGTGTTCCAGATCACAATTTATTAATTGATGAAAACAATACACCCTGGATGGGCACTCACAGAGACACATGACGCTACCAGCATGTCTTTGGGATGTAGGAGGATACTGGATAACATGAAGGAAACTCATGCAAACATGGGGATACACATACACACTCCATGCAGATGGCACCCCAGGAAATGAACGTAGGACCTCAGTGCTACAGAGCAGCAATGCTAACCACTGTGCTACCGTGCTGCTTTACATTACATAATATTTTAACTCTTTCTATATGGTATCAATATGTCTTTTGGCTGTGGCTCTGCTCCTTGTGTAGACAGTGCTCATGATTTCGAAGAGCTGGGCTAGGTCACACGTACCTGGTAGGTCACAGCGCCGGCGTAGTGGTGTAAAGTGAAGACGGGCAGGGGGATCTTGGGCTTTGTGTAGAAGGGGCTGTTTCCATGGTGATAGTGGCACTTCTGCAGGAAAGTGTGGTCTGTGGCCTGTGATAGAGAGAGAATCACAAAGTGTTGGGTAGGCAAGTGTGGGAAAGTGTTCCTGTGCTCCTAAAATACTTACTGCCTACTTCAATTAGGACATTTGGATCTTGTGGATTGGGTTCACATCAGTTTGATTAGGCTTTAAAGAGCAAGTAGCAAAACTCTGAAAACATAAGCTGTAGACTTAGTTGCATTTAATTCTGCAGTCAACATTTAGACAGCTTTTTTTGGCAGACATAATTGTAGCATCAGGCATGAAAGCTGGGCAGCTTGCTCCAGACTATGACAACTCATTGGGCTGACATTGTCATTGAATATTTGTATAAAGTTCTTTCATAGTCTTCCTCTCTGCTTAAAACTACACACAATCAGCGCTTTCAACTTGTCAGGGTACTATTCTAAAGCATCAACATCTTTTTTGCGCTATGCTGTGTAGAAGACCTTTCTCTGTTAGATTATTGTTTAGAAGAAGAGTACTAATTCTGAATTACATAATGTGGGTATTCACAATAACTTTTAGCACAGGCTGTTTAGTGGAATTTAAATCAGTGCCCAGGGCCATGCAGTTCCCACCTGAGGTAGGCTGGTCTGGTCATCCAGGATTCTAAGGATACCATGTGGTCGAGCACAGATGAGGTCCAGGCAGGACTGACAGTCCAGCAGGGGTACTGGATACCACTCAATCTGCTCTGCGCTATACTCTTCCTGCAGGCATCAGGACACAAATAGAGTACTATACTGACTGGCACTCAAAATATAATGTATATTCTTACATTAGCTCATGTGAACTATATAAAATGTACAGGGAGAGAATAACAGGGAGGAACTTCAGAACTCCTTGCGCCAGCTGTATGAAAGCTGTTCCACAGCTATACCTTGTGGAACAGCTATATGAAAGTGTCAGGACTGGTTAGATATTAAGCAAATGATATCCTTAAACTTAAATTAAAAAATGGTGCCGGCACTTACAGATTATAGCATCATATTGGTATTGCCTCCACAGCTTGACTAACATCTGAATGAGAACTAGGTAATTCTTAAAATGCAAAAAGAAATTAAATGATGGGTGGCACAATAGCGCAGTGGTTATTATTGCTGCTTTGCCTGTGCAAACAGCTAAGGCCCAGGGTTCAATTCCTGAGGTGCTATCTGTGTGGAGTTTGTATGTTCTCCCATGTGTGCATCAGTTTCCTTCGGGAGCTCTGGCCTCCTCCCACAGTCCAAAGGGATAGTGGATGGTTAATTGGATTCTGTAAAAAACTGGTCCTGGTGTCTGACCACTTTGACCTTCTCACCTGCTCCTGTGAGACCACCGCCTTGTTGACGAAATGCTGCAGCTGCTCGTTAGCATAATTAATACAGAGCTGTTCAAAGCTGTTCACCCCCAGGTCCTGCAAGGTGAGAAGGGGTTGTGAGTGGGCAAAGCCTTCTACACTTGGGAGCAGGAACCTACTCCAGATCCCGCAGTCAGGAATCCGGTAGGTATTCTGTATTTCTTTAAACAATCAGTAGGTTAAAGCTTTGAAGAAGAATTAAACTGGTCCAGTGAAAGTTAAATCAGATCAGTTATACACGTTTCTCTAACGAAGAGTTTACAGTATAAAATATAAGGGGACAACCTACTAGACTACAGACCCTGAGAACTGTAGCAGGGGACTGCCGATATACCGTCAGGCAGTGGGACAGTGCGAACATGAAGAGACATGATCACAATTATACATTGGCAGAGGCTTTACCAGAGCTGTTCCTGACACACATAAAGCTGCCAGATCACAGACAGACAGGACCTAGCTCAGGCACAGGCAATCAGCGTGTGAAAATCATGCCAACAGACAGCACAGTATTCCAACAGCCCCGTGTGTAGACAGACAAGAAGACAGGAAGACAAGAGACAGCACCTCGAACCCATAGATGTCCACAATGCCCACAGTGCTGTCCATCTCTGAGGGGATAAGCCATTCATTGATTCGGGCCAGAAGCCAGTCAAACAGCACCGAGTACAGGGCCTTGGAGATGGCATCCCTGCCAGCACAAATACAACAGATCTGTTCATAGCCGGCTGCAGCTGGAGCACATCTGCAGTCACATCCTGGAATTCAATCACATCCATTCATTTTCTAACTGCTTCATCCAATACAAGGTTGCAGGGAGCCGGAGTCTCAAGCAGGCAAAGGGCATGCAGCGGAATACACCCTGGATGGGATGCCAGTCCATCACAAGCTATCGTTAATTTATTGATTAATTTTAAATTGATTCATGAATTGATGTCATATGTCCAAGTGCTGTTAAACACAAAACAAAATTCTTATGCTGAAGTAAGAATACATTCATAACCTGTAGTTTCTAACTCCTCTTCTTAATTAGACTATAAGAGAGCTTTATATCACAATTCAGTTCAAATGTTTTCGGTCCCAGTCTTGAATAATGTGTTTTTATGATCTAGACAGGAGCTTTGAAGGTGACTGGTTGGTTACTTAGTATTTACTGTATAAAGTATCTTCACGCTATCTAATAATTTGTTATCTTTTGTTTAATTTTACCAATCTTAAATATGACTTACATATGGAAACCTCCGCAGAGTTAACCTAGTTTATCAGGTATGCTTGACTCCATAAATAAAACAGATCTCACGGACGTTTCTTCAAAAACTCATACTGCTGCTACTCATTTGCTCATTGCACCTAACACTGTGGGATCCATTTACCTTCCTTAATCATTCCTTTCATCCAGGCCAAATCCCTTTCTCAAATTCTTCATTTACCAAAGTGCTCAATGCTATGGAGGTTACCTGAACCTCCTGGAATGTGGTGATAAACTCTGTTTAGACATGGCCAATGGACACGAAACTATCCACTCCTGCAGGAAGGCAATGAGGAAAGGAGTCTTCAGCATTCCAAGGAGATACATACCTGGACTCAATGGCACTTTCTACAGACAGGGGGCAGTAGATCCTGTCATACGATGTCTCCTGGCAAAAGACAAAGATAACCCATGCAGAGAAGTGCAAGCAAATTCCTTCCATGGTTTGAGAGTAGGGCTAATGACAGCAGACTGAAGGACCTTGAATCTTTTTTTGGTCTCAGTTGATAACAGCTGAAACGAAACTAGATTTTGTTTTTGTTTTTTTTCCAGATTTTAACAGAAATATTAATAAGGTTGGAGAAGCACAGTGGTGAAGTGATTAATAATTGCACTGGGGCCCCGAGTTCAATTTCCAGAGAGCATGGAGTTTGCATATCTGCATGGAGTTTGTATGTCTTTTCATGTTTTTTTTAAGCTGGTGCTCCAGGTTCTTCCCACAGTCCAAAGACATACTGGTCATATACATCTCTTCTGTTTTATTTGTACTGCTGGTTGGCGAATAGTTGTTTAGTTCCCACCTTGTGCCCAATGTTTCCCAGGGCAGGCTCTGGCCTACTGTGAACCTGAATTGGATACGCGTGTATTGAAAGTGAAGTGGTGATGTGATGTGAGAAGCAAGGTTGGAATTAGTTTCAAATAAAGTTCAGCAAGTGCATGGTGAAACCTGTTTTTATGCCAAGAATTACTAATACATGGATCAAATCGCAAAGCCATATTGGGGCAGCTAACACTAAGACCTTTTAATAATTCAGTGTGACTGTGATGGGATGGAGACAAGCATGCTTTGATCTGCTAAATTAGCATTTATTGCTTAAACCACGTTATGTTCTTATAATTGGTTATTTTCTGAATGCTCTCAATTTCTCAAATATCTACCCAAAAGAAAAAGTTTAAATACTCATATGTTCTCGTGCATGTTTTTCCAAAATATTTGCTACAGGTTTATTAATCCTGGAGATGTAGTACAGGATTTAAACCAGGAAAGGTGGTGTGGCAAATTCCTCCACTGTGACCTTTGACCCCTTCAATAAAAACACTTCTTGCCTACCAAGACCTGCCTGCCCCACCCGTGTCTTACCGTAATGCGGTGAGTGATGGCGTTCTGCAGGGCGTCCGCCGAGATCTGAAGCAGGCTGCTGACAATCCGCGTCTCTGCATCATTAAAGATCACCGCCAGCTCATACGAGTCGCTCTGAGGACACAGCAGACACTGCACAAGTGAGGGAAGGGTTACATTTCACTAGCCGGAGCTCCACTAGGTCCTCTTCAACACAGCTACCAAAGGATTTTGACATAAGACCCACAAACTCACGTTTAAAAGTCAACAGTAGGGTTGGGCTTTACTGAGACAGATTAAATCTATTTCCCCTTTTTCAATTTTTAACTTCTCAATTATTGTAATTCAAGAAAGTCTTTATTGTAATTTCTCCTTAGCCTTGCACGTGCTATCCTTCCTTATCATGTAATCTTTAATCTTCTGATGTCTCTTTGAATGACTAATAACTCATTGTAATGCTGACTCTTCAAATCTTTCAGATATTTATTAAACATGCCATTATTTTTACCATCTTTACTGTTTGTAAAATCTGTTTTCTTTTTACCACACAGTATGTCTAGATATGTTTTTACATGTCTGTCTTGTATCTTGTTAGTTGTGTCCAATCAAACCAATGATGTTTCAACCATTAAGGTCTTGTAACTTCCTCTTTTCACCTTCCATGTATCATTCCTTAGGCCGTTTTTAAGGAACTAAGCAGCATCAACAAGAAAGAATCTCATAAATCATCCAGAATCCCACCTATCCAAACAAGAGATTTTCCAATCCCCTGAACCGCTTGTCTTTGGTATAGAATAATAGCTCTTAGACTCACATTTTTCATCAAGCCCTGTGTGATGCGTAAGACCAAGTTCTATTCCTATCTATTTTTGCTCGGTATTGTGTCAGTTATATCACCACAACACAAACACTGCTAGTTTTAATACTCAAATGGTTGCTTTGTGGGAAAAATATAAATAAGTACAAATCTGTTTCCAGAAGCATTTTTCATCTGCTGTCAACTTTACCAAATTACTGTGTTGCAGATAAAAAAATATGAAGGATTTGTAAGTCTGCAAACTACAATAGAGCTCAATTGCACAATGATCTCAAGTGTAGTTTGCATACTTACAAATCCTTCCTCTGCAGAATTCACTCAAGATGACATCTCTCCTGCTGTATCCTATGTTGTCTGAGTGGGTTTCTGTGACTTCCAAATGCTGGAATTGCAGACTCCTTCATTAACAATGCAGGATTAAGCAGAAGAGATCTCTTCTGGAACCCACTGGTCTACTGGAAGCAATACGAGATATAAAAACATATTAACTATGTACAGCATGAGTATCAATAACTTACGTTTTCTGTAGCTGTGCTAGTTACCTTTAAATGTAATGGAGCTCTGTATAAAAAATAATGGAAATTATAAGTAGAGAACTGGGAAAGAGGAGATAAACACAACCTCTCCTTGAAATCTGCAATATAAAAGCTGAGTGAGGCTCCAAGACTAACTAACCTCATAAGAGCTAAAGCAGATGTTGCCCAGCTGCAGAATGGAGGACAGGATGGCCCAGGTGATAGTCAGTTGATCTTCACTAAGGCCAATTTTCTCCAAGCATCTGAGCAGAAGTAGGAAGTCTTGGTCGTCCCACTTCTCTTCCAGCTCACAAGCCCCCCCCTGTCCACAAAGTCCCACATTCAACCACAGGCCTCACTCAGCCAGTTACAAAACACCAGCCAAACAAATTGTGCACTTGTCACTCTTCCATTAAAGATCCCACATTTAACAGTGACACTTTAAGGGGATTTTAGAAGGCTTTTCTTTTTGCTATCTTTGCTGTTATTCCTGCAAATCTGTTCAAAGTCCCCTATCTCCTCAGCATGTATAACCTTAGAAAAAATACCAGTATACTGTATCTATCACGACCATCTATTTTGTTAAAATGTGGAAATACCTCATGTGGGATAAATGCAAACAGGTAGTCTCTGCAATGCACAATCGCCATCCCCTTTCTATTGCAGACTGCCAGCTGACTATGTACAGTCTGTCTACAAGAAGCTGCCAGGACCTAAATGAGACTATAGCCACCGGACCACTACTCATTTACTATAATGTAAAGACACAGTCTTGATTAGGTAAATCAAGGACACAACTGGCTAATGAAATAGCTCAGATTTGAATTCTAGACAGAATTACCCATCTCACTACAAGCAGAAGGAAGCCTTTGCTAATTCGGCCACTCAGAAACTTTTTGTAAATGACAATATTGCTCCAGGGCAGAAGAATTCAACACTCTACCAGTTCAATTGCTTGATCCTCAATTCTTCAGCACCAATATTAAAAAAAAAATCTCTCATTGACTGAAGTATTGTCTTACCTGGTTGAGGTAGTAGTAGGTCTCAGCGCCCTGCAAGTAGAGCTCCTGCTTCTGCTGCTCACTCAATCCGGCCAGCATCTCATAAAACACGTGATAGTTCCTCTCTCTACTGGCCTGAGGATAGAGTGAAAGAGAACTAAGCCCATGGAGAAAAGATGCAGCATAATAATGGACCAACTATCAATTTATGGGATACGTTAACAGATAAGTCAAAGCCGGAGCGGTTCTAATGTGTGGCTTTATTTTGTTCACCATATTCGAGTTTCCATCAAGATTGTCAAGAGATCTACTCTAGTTATCACTTTTATTTTGGTTTAGCATGCAGGCAAAGCTAACAACGCAAGAGAGAGAGGAGACAATAGCAAAGCAGACCTGGCAATGTCACCTCTCATGTGCTGGAACAGGACACTCTACTGGAATCATTTCATAGCATGGTTTAAGAGTGCAGTTCCACAAGATGCACGATCGTACTCAATCACTATAAATGCGATCCAGGGCAGAGATAGGGTCTTCTGATATCAATATACCACCTTTCAGTAACACAGTGTTTGATTTTACATTCATTCTAAATACAATGCATTTTCATATACAAAAGAAGATCCTAGATAAATACATAGAACAAAGATACAATATTTTGCAAAAGCAAATCAGGTTATATTAATAAAACTTGAAAGAATATGTGTGACTTATTTCTATTCAGACTTTGATTACTTATTACAGCCTTTCAGTCCATGATTTCATCACTACAGAGAACCTCTTCGGATTTCTTCAGTAGTGATGTCACTGTAACAATCTCAACTCACACACTATGAGTTGCCAGTTACACAGTTACAAAATTAGCTATGAAGCCGGGGCACCAATTTGACCTTTATGTGATAACCATACGTGGTAAAACCTTCTGGCCAGGCATGTGCAACTTAGGACCCACCTGGAATACAACACGAGATTTCTCGAGGAGATACTGTGACAGCGAGGTCCCAACCACCAGCCCACTGTGGACAAACAGCACGATCGAGTGACCTGTTAATCCATGACAACTATCCAAAGCCTAAGTGTTCTATCCTTTAATAAACACTAACAAACAAAATCTACTGTAAAACATGAGATCCTCACTCAGTTTTCTAGCTACAGTTAGATCCCTTCCATCATTAAAACTTTATTTCCCAATTTCTGGTGTTAGATTAGATGGGAAGAATGTATATTAATATTGATAATATTAATTAATGTTGATATTAATATTAATAAACACTTATATTAATATTAAAGAATTATTTTGATAGCATCAAGCCAGCAGTGATTCTGTACTGTGTGAACAATGAAACATACATTACTTAAGTAGTGATTGTTGCATATGACCTGTGACATACTACTGACATACTTCTAACCATTTTATCTGATGCAGAGTAGCAGGAGAGCCAGAGACTATCCTGGCAAACAACTGGCTCAAACCAAGGTACAGACATAGACACAGTCACACCAGGGCCAATTTGCCCATAAGATAATTAACCCACCAGTATGTCTTTGGACTGTGGGAGGAAACGAGAGCACCCAGAGGAAACCAGTGGGGAAAACATACAATAGATATCATGGCAGGAATTGAACTTAGGACCTTAGAGCTGCCAGGCAATAATACTAACCACCGTACTACCATGCCACCCTGCATCACTGCCATTGAGGATGGAATTATTTGTATAACTGCATGGACTGCATCTTTAATAGAAAACTCGCCATGCTGACAGGAGAGAGAGGAGATGTTTCAACAAAAGGCCCTGGGTCTTTGGAGGGAAGCATCAGGAGTCGGCAGCAGGACTCACTGTCGAATGTGGATGTGCAGATATTTCCCGAAGCGGCTGGAATTGTTGTTCAGGATGGTCTTGGCGTTCCCGAAGCTCTCCAAGATTGGCAGAACTTCTGTGGGCTGGGGGAAGGACAGATTACAGAGACGCCTAAGAGAAAAACTCAGAACAATGAAATATCCTGGGCCGACAGCACAGATTAGGCCGTAAGGGGAAAGTGGTGCTGTGCTGCATCAGACATCAGACTGACCTGTCGCAGGCCCTCCACATTGCCCTGGTACACAGTGCTCAGGTACTGGACAATCAGTTTGGCTGCCTCCGTCTTCCCTGAACCACTCTGACCACTGTGGAGTGAGGAGACCATGACTCAGTCAGACCAAAGGATATCTGAGATCAGCTGTGCTAGCATTTATATCGCACTTTACAGACCAGAGTAGCAGGCTGATAAACAGAGCAGCGGATCTGCCCAAAGCTAGACAAAAACAGAAGCGATCATAAAGACAGAAGATCAAATACTAGTTCCTGAAAGCTTTCTTTCAGTTCAAAGTAAATTACCTACATTGATTGTGTGTGCCTAGAGTGTAATGGAGCCATGATCTCTTTTGTGAGGTTAAGAACACAGCTGATGAGCATAATTCTGCTCTGTGGAAGGGGTCATGACTGACATCCTACCTGATGACAACACACTGCTCCTGTGCAGAGCTCTGGGAATGACAGTAGGCAGCATCAGCAATGGCAAAGACATGCCTAGAGAGAGGACAGACACACCCTCCAGTCATCACAGTACTGCAAACACTAGCACTGCAATCACCCTGGCACTGGCTTCTCTGAGCACACGGCTGAATCTTCAGACCTATTATAGACATCTTCAAATAAGGTAAGAAATATTATACTATATTCATTTTCAGATATTTTTCAGAAACATCCTACAAAAAAATGTTTTTGCTAAAAACCAAGAACCCAGGAAAATACCACTACCAGTCCAACTTTGTTGCTAAATAATTCCATTTCTGCATTTTTTTTCCATTGCTAATATCTCAGAACCTTTTACCATAAAAAGGCCACTTTCTTGGATTTTTAGTATGGTTGGTAAGGGTGTCCTCTCACTCCCTGTAAAATAACAAGGATGGCACCCACATTGGCCTGCTCTTATAATCTACATCTCTGAGCTGGACCCATGGTGACAGAAAAGCCAAAGCAACAATTATTTTGTTTAAACTGCTATCCTGGAAGAGATAAAAGATTTTCACTCCAGAGCAGGATTTGTTCTTAATTTGCCCTTAAGTTCTTAAGATAAATATATAAGTTTAAACTTTTGACTGAGCTCTGAGTAGAAAGCTGTCTCTCTGAAATTTGCCTTACAGAACCGGAGAAAACGTCTGTACTCACGGGGGGTTGCCCTGCAGCTCCTTGCCCTGGTACTGCTGGCTAATCTCCTCTGTGTAAATCCTCAGTGGTTTGAATGGATTCACAGACAGCAGCATGTTCCCAATGTAGGTCTGGAGGCAAAAGAAATATTGCTGTATTGCCTTGTGGTTTCTAATTCGGGTGATTTTGGGAACACTTTGCTTGAAACATTTGCTGTTAAATGAGTAGAACACCAAGGTTCTTTCTGAGTGCTTAGCTTTTCTGGAAGAAGTAACTTCACTGCCAGAGTTGGCTTTTTTGAATCCCTATAGTCTACAGACTGCTGTTTGGAATCTGAGCTGTCTTATAGTTGCCTGACCAGGATGTCTTCAAGTCTCTGACTCTGCAGAGGTGGCATTGAGAACTGCTTCTGACTTCCTTCTGATGCTGGACTGTGCTGTTTGCACAGTTTACCGTAAAAAGAAACCCAAAGCTCAAGATTATACACTTCAGAGAAGTCCTAAACGTTTCTCTTCTGACTGAAAATGTGTGAATCAAAATGTTGGCACCTGGAGCTTGGAAAAAAAAACTTTGTAAAAATAATCAAATAATGAATCTGAGAACTCCTGCTTTAGGACGGAAGAGATGTATTTACATACGTAAATGGTGTCTCGATGAAACCTCTTCTTCAGATTGAGAAGCACTGAGCTCTCACATACCTCCCTGGAAAAAGAGAAACGTGATATTGAGCAATCAACAGGCTGGCATTGTGAGAGCAAGAAACCAAGTAATCTTAAAAAACTGTTCTGCCACAAAAAAATTATTTACAGCGAGAAAGACATCATAAGCAAGGAGTCCCTGCTGTCTTTCTCCAAAAAATATGCCTTTTAACATAAAAAGAGAGTATTTTTAAAACACGTTCTTCTGTCTTTACAGCATACAGTATATATGGGCTTCAATATACACTGCTCCCACTAGAAAGACAAAACAAAAAATCAAAGGCCATGGAACCAGAGCGTGACAAAGGAGTGTGTTGCTTCTCAAGGGCTCCCCTTCTGATCAGGACTTTGGGGGACCCAAGTGAATGGCTCCCCATCCTCTTCAGTTGGATTCTGACTGTTCATTTTTGACTGCTTGTGCCTCTTTGCATAATCTCCCTGCTATGGATCTTCACAATAATCGTCTGCACTTATTGTAGTCCTTGGTTGGTTTGATAAACAGCCACAGTTATGGCTTGGACAGCATGGATGGGTAGCTTGTCCCATACTCCCACAATGCTTTGTATAAAAAAGTGCGTCCTGTTCTCGGTGATACAGGTACTTCCCCCTAGTCACCATTTGTGCAAAAGTAGATCGTGCACCTCCTGTAAACTGTGTATCCCAAGAGAGAGAACAGTGTCTTGGGGCAGATAAAATGCTATGTGCAGTTTGAGGAGAGAGATATCATGTGGGAAAAAAAACAGAACTTATTGTGCGCTATCTGAACATTCCCTTTCAAGGTGCCGTACAGTTTTATGGTACTCTGAACACTAATCATACAATAGTGTACTCAGTAGACCTTTAACCTATATCACAGACGGGCAAAAAAGAGACCATATGAGCCAGCTGAAAAACCCTATCCTTCACCACTCACTCCAACTGGGACAGATCCTCGACTGCATCCACTTCCACAGAGTGGGCACTCCCTGGGACTGGAACCTGCAGCACAAAGCACACAGAGGTCACAAAGGCATCTACATTTGTCTGGTTCATTAGCAACGTGTGCTCCCAAATGGAAAGCATAACAAAGGTGTCGCTTGGATTTTAGGAAAGGAAGAATAAAGATGAATGAATTTTCCGCATCTATATGATGTGGACTATTGACATACCTGGGTACTGGAGAGCCGGCTTTCAAGGAGGTTTTCGGCTGCATCTTCTGACTCCCAGGTGCTTCCTGAGGCTGGGGGCTGAGGAGGCTCAGCGTCCTTGTACATGGCCCACTTGCTGAGGTTCTCCACCGTGGGGTGAGGCAGCAATGTCTCAGCACGCAGCCAGTCCTCGGGGTTGCACCGTAGTGAACGGCTCTGGGCCCAGTGCACCTCCATAGAGGACTGATATATCACTTCACCCATCAACTGGGCCACTTCTTGATCGGCCTCTTCCTCATAATAAGAAGAAAGAAGGACCTCTTTTTCTGCATCTTCGTTGTCACAAAATCCTGCCATCTTTTCTCGGTTGCCCTCAGTTCCCCTTTGGCGTAGCTTAAATTCTCCTCCACTGCTTGGCTTAGAAGACATCAGCTTTGCCACTTTAAACTGAGAAGGTCTTCTTTCTTCTTTGCTCATATAAGCATCTTTGGTTTCCACTTTTCTCCCTCTTAACCCTGTATTCCTCTCCCTGACTTGCTCCCTCTCCCCTATATTTTCCACATTGCTCTGCCTTGTGGGATCCCCTGTCTTGAAACTCTTCTTACAGGATTTCAACAGTGTGAGGTCTGGCTGTACTGGGAGCACCAAACGGGCCCCAGGCTTAGGAGGGGTTCGAAGGGGCTCCTCGATGGTACTGGCGGTGGGTGATGCACCTTTGGACTTGATAATCTTGTGGACCCTTGGGAAGACAATGGCATACTTTGCATCGCCAGGACTGGCCTTCTCCTCTGGCTCACTCAGGCTCTCAGAAGGTGGTGGTGGGGAATTTGGATCATCTGCAGGGGAATCAGAAGAGTCTTCACAGTCTCCTGTGAGATCTTCTCTCCTTTGAGAGCCTGTCTTCCCTGTGGATTCCACCTCCTCTGGCCCTGGCTCAGATTTGGGACCCTGGATGTGGATTCTTTTGCCTGCCAAACTGGCAGTGCTAGCAAGACGGATTGCCACCCTCCTACGGAACCGACTCTGCTTGCTGCTGCTGCAGTTCTTCTTCTTTGCCCTGGCAGACAGCCAGCCTGAGATACCAATTGCCCGGCTCACTGAAGCCAGCTTAGCTCTCAGATTGAAACTCTTGGGGATCTTTCGATGAATCCAGCCAGATACACGGCGCAATGTAGTCATCCCTTTCCTCTTGGTGATAAGATTGCCAGTTGAGCCAGCAACTGACTCTGGAGGCACCTCAGTAATCTCTGCTGCCTTGTCACGCTTCCTCCTAGCCTGGTACCGAACAGAGGCAATCTTTACCCTTCCAAGCATCAGTCCAAAATTCTGAGGATGACCAGTGCCCTGTTTCTCTTCAGTGTCTCCTTTACTGGTTCTTTGGTCACCTGTTTGCACTTGCTCTTCTACAACAGATTTACTGCAAGACTTTACAGAACCTGCATCCAAAACATCTTGATTGACTTCTTGCTTTGAATTCTGTTGCTGTGTGGATGTGAGTCTGGCTTTAGCCTCTCGTTTCTTGGTCCTCAGTGTCAAGATCATATGAGACTGTCTCAGCATAAGACCTTGTGGGGATTTTGGGGAAGGAACTTCCAGCTCCTCATTCTTTTTTCCCCCTACATCTGGTTTCCCTTTGGAGATCTTTGCCACTGTAGCCACCTGAAGTATCGGAGATTTACTTTTTACTTGACCCTTCTGCCTAAGAGCAATCCCTTTCACCTTGGTGGTCTGTACTGGTGGTGTCTCTTTCTCAACGGGAGATGATTCTTTATTTTGCATTGGCTTGGACTTCACCTTGACTCCACCTAGTAGTTTCGTTGTTAACTTGAGTGGCATGTCCTTTCTGGCCAAGGGAGTGCTTTTGCTTGCCTTTGGAGGTTCTTCGATATTATCATCCTGTATTTCCTTGCTATCTGATTTCATATCTTCCCCAGAGTTGGTTTCTTTCTGAGGTGACTCTGATGTTTCCTCCTCCTCACTGCTTTCAGCTTCCTCGCTGCTGGGTTCTTCTATCGGTTCCCCTTCTATTGTCTTTGGCTCTTTCCTCAGCTTTTGCTCCTCTTCATCCTCCTCCTCCTCACTGTCTGTTTCTGTGCTCTCATCACTTTCACTGGTTTTACTGGCTTTGCTCTCTTCCGTCCCTTCAGAATCCTCACTGCCATCAGACTTAGTATCACTGTCCTCCTGATCACTCTGCTTGGACTCTTCCCTGTCCTCCTCTGAACTCTCCATTACACTGTCCTCCTCCTCTTCCTCAGTCTCTGTGCTGCTGCCTTCCTCTGATTCTTCCTCTATCTCCTGGGTCTCCCCTCCTTTTGGGACCTTGCAAAGCTCTTCCTTCAGGTTGACCACATTCTTGGCCGCTTCCTTGGCTTGGGATTTTAAACCACTACCTTTTAGCTTCACTGCCTTCTCTGGGTTTCCCTTTGTCAGCCTGTCTGTGATCTCCACAGCATTTGTGTTCTCTTTTCTAATATCTTGCTTCCCAGCTACTTTAGGTTTCTCCTCTGGTGACTTTTGTTTTTGTATTAGTTCTTTATTACTTTGTATCCGTCTCTCTACTTGCCTCTCACAGCTCGGCTCTTTCTTCCCACCCTTACTTCCTTTTGTCTTCTCTAGCTCTTTTCTGCTTTTATCTGCTGCTGCTTTACAGTCCTTTTTCAATTCTGTTGGCTTTGATTTGGTGGGTTCACTCTTCTCGGGCTTAGAGCTGTGAGCAGGCAATTCCTTGAATCTCTTTTTCTGTGTGTCACGCATCTCTTCTTTTGTAGATTCGTCTCTGGAGGATTTTCCCACGTGACTCTTGGATTTGTGCTCATTCAAAGGTCTAGGTTCTTCCACCTTATCTCTTTTCCCAGTCTCTGCTTTCTTATCTGCACTCCTGGACTCAGAGTGGGAAGCTCCGTGTCCTTTTCTTTTCCCACTGCTTTTCCTGGCTGGCTGGGAAGGAGCCATGGCCTCTCTCTCTAGGGATCAGAGTGCAATGACGTCCTTGTTCATCTAATACAAAAACGACAGCGATCATTTAGTTCAATTCAAAGCGAAGAATATTTAGGATTGCTTCATTTCTAAGGGCTATGTTGCCATAACAAAACCCAACTTTAAAAGTTAAGTTCAAGCAAACTCTACACCAAACAGACACTGGGAGATGTATTTCTTCAAGGTGACTGAGAAATTAAGCAGTAACATATAAAACAAAAAAAAATAGTCACAGTGGGAGAACTGTGTCTTTTTAGCCTTTGAAAGAGAAAGAGTGAGATTTCACATTGTCATTTATCATATATATATTTATCAATATTTCATTTGCAAATATTAATAGATCAAGACTGTTATTCGTTATTCGTTTTAAAAGATGAAGAACATATTTTAAACTGCAAAGCACTCAACTTCCAACTCCGTAGCTCCATTGGTTAAAATAAGCAAGTTAACAAACAATTTATACTAGTGTTTTAATACAGTTTTTGCATGAAAACAAAAAATTACATGCAGTAATTGAATAAGCCTAAGAATACATCAATAAAATCTCAAATTATATATGCTTTGTATATGCACAGACACACATACAGTATACACAGTACATCACCTGCTACAATTGTGGGGTTCCCAGATGCAACAATTCCTGAAAAAATGTAAATCATTATTATATTATTTTAAAAAATTCACTGAAACGTAGACATCTCTCAAAGTCTGTTTATGCTTGAGGCACCCCAGCTTCAAGATCATTCACCCAATGTTATTTTGAAGAGGAATTTGACATAGGGCGCACTGAATAAACTCAAATTTAAAAGCTAGTGTTCATTTAAAGTAATTTAGGTTTTAATATGACTAGGTTTTTCAAGTCATTATGTTGAGATTCAAATTCAAATACCAAATCAAATTAACTTTCCTTGGATATTTACAATATTTTGAAAATGGATTGAAACTGTGCCGTTGCACTGCCTCCTTTCCGATTTGGTTATTCAGCAGCACAGCACAGTCACTCCTCTTCTGAATAGATCTGCCACTTGAAATCCTTAAGCAAGCGGAATAAAACATAAAAACGTCTACAACAAGTGGTTTGCCCTGTTAAAACCAGCTGAGGTTGATCCAACATCACTATATTCCCGTGGAGAAAAAAAAGGCTTGGTATGAAAGCCACACAGGTAGTTTTAACTGCCCAAAGCTGTGGAGCTCTGATAACTGGGCCATCTCCTGGTGGGAGTCCACATGGCACAATATTCAGATATTCAGATGAAAAGGGCAAAAAGAAAAACACATTTTCTTATTTTAAATCCGTAACCAACAATTATTTATTAAAGAAAACACGATATCTCTTTAAAATTTGTGTTTACCAATTTCAGTCTAATTTCCAGTCCGACCTGAACAAACTCAAAATGCCCTACTGACTATTTTGAATGACACTTTCAAGAAATTATTTTCTTCCCTTTATGCTAACAATTCAGAAAGGAGCAGCCACTTTTCTAAACTGCCGTCACAAATTCTTCACGCATACAGAAAACTCCAGGTTTTTGCAGGACACAACGAATTTAAAGGGAAAAATGTTATAAAATATCCTCTAGTGCCAAAACTCAGCATATACAAAAATAATTTTTGCAAATACTGTATGTCAACGTTGATGGAAGACGTCCCCCTCTCTGTATAATATATCCTTGCAGGTGAGTCGTAGTGTGTTCTTACCTGTGTGCTCAGCTGCTGGGCAGTCATGACCGGGACCCCCTGAGGGAGGCTGACAGTCAGAGCGCACAAGGAGGCTGGCTGTCACACACACGGGTCAGCTGTGAATTATTCAGTTTCTCTACACAGGCCATGGAATTGTGCTCCCATTCATATCAGCAGCTGGCCGACAGGACCCAGAAAGGTGAGAAGAGCCAGGGAGAGACTGACAATGGGTGCTGACAAATGCGTGACGGGGATGGGGGGGGGGTTGGGGTGAGCTGGGAACTGAAGTGCTCATCACAGTCCAGAGTGGCTCACGCAGCCCTTGATGTAGTGAGGACCACCTGCACTCGAGGGGGCTCTGACTGAAACTGCTGTCCTGTTTTCACAGTAGGATCTGGGAGGTTTCTGAGGCCCCTAAAAGTTTACCAAAGGAGTGCATAGAAAAGCCAGCACAGATCTTAATTAGGCAGTCAAATCCACAGTCCCCATCAATTCGTTACACAGGCATCAACAGAGACCACCTGGATAAGACTAGACTTTTTGTTTTGAAGTACAATGCAATTTTCAATAATAAAAAGATAAGGAGGACCTTCTGCATTCAGAAACTGTGTAATGCACTCATTAGACAACATCTAGAACATAGCAGAGAGTTCTGGCACATACAGTAATAAAAAATAATAGATACCACAGAGAAACTTAAAGGAAGATCAACAGGATTCTTTCCCGAACTAAAGGTCATGATTTACAAGAACAGTTTGAAGGAATTTTATCTGGTTAATCTTCAACAGCTGTTTCTTAGAGGATCTTGGGGAAATAAGTTCAATGACGTGCTTAGGCTGCGCATTTAAAACCCACTGACTCCTGTGTGCAAAAGTGCCTCCTGTTCTTGGTCTTTAAATCACTCTCACCTAATTCACTTGTATCCTTATTACACTACCGAGCAGAAATAAAGTAACCCAGTGGGTTTGGTGCATCTAGTATCTTGTGGGATTTTGACTGACTGTATCAAGGTCTCAAATAATTTTCTTAACAAATAGCCTAAAAGATAATGTGTAGGGAACACCTGAAAGAAAACTGCTGTTGTCAAAGGTTTTTATTCATATCTAAAATGTATTATGAGTCTTATTAAAGACAAAATTATTTGTTACCTGTAATGTGTAAAGCTGTCACATCAGGACTGCACCTGATCTGCGCATCTGTAACCATCTCCTCAACAGTCAGCTGTTCATCTTGTGATTAATCCCCTACTTGCTATTATTTCCATACACTCTGTTGTATTTTGACACCATTGTTCAAAATACAGTGGTGAGCATTGCTGTCTTGCATTATTGTGGCAATGAGTTCAGTTATGGACCTGGGGTGCTGCATGGAGTTTGTATGTTCTCCCTGCATTTCCATGGGTTCCTCTGGTTACTCTGATTTCCTCCCACACTCCAAATACATTGGCAGGCTAACTGGCTTCTGGAAACATTGGGCCCTGGTGCGAGTATGTGTGCCCCCATACTGGCATCCCATCCAGGTGTAGAATGGCTCAGCAATATAGAACAGTTGCACTATTTTTTTAGGTAAATTGGTGCTCTGAGGGATCACCTAACATAATGATGACATATATAAAATATATGAATTTATATATATATATTGAATATAGCATTTCCAATTCTAAAACTTTCAATAAGCACTAAAAAATTCTCCAGACCAGAACTGAGCACGCCTGAAGTGAAGAATTTGATAAACCAGGGCAAGCTGCTGCTGTAAAATGAAAACCAGGAGGCATAGGGGATCTCCAGAAAGAGGATCAGGGAACCCTGCCCTACCTGCCCTGTAATATAACCTGCTCTTCCAATAACAACTGATCAATACTGAATATAACACCAGTAATGATATTGCTGACCCTGCATCTGGGCGCCCTGCAGGAAACTGTGTTCTGCACTGTTACCCACCCCTCTAAGGGTGTGTTTAAGTTGGCCGCCGCCGCTCTGGACCGCTTCCTCGAATCATGTTACTGCGGAACAAGAGCTGCCGAAGCCAATTGCGCGTAGTCAATTAGCGGACAAAGCGTCTCTCAATTATGCATGACGGAGAGCTTGGCCGTGCATGTATGATGACTGATCTCTCTTTTGTCCACCCTCTGCATAATTCAGCAGAAGGTTCTTCTGCTGTACACTACTGCAGCAACTTCCATAAAGCTACCGAAGTTCCTTAGAAAAGCTAAACCTTTACATAATTGACTTTTTCTTGTTTAGCTACATTTGTTTTACACCTTTGTCTTTTTATTCTGTCTCCAGAGATTTTTTGATGGGTGAGATATTAGTGGTAGGTTATGTTGCCCTGGTGTAAGTACAGATGGCTGTGCGTCTACCCAGCAATTGAGTGGCATCCAAACCAGGGTTTATGGACTCCTGCTCACCCACAGTGGATAATGCAGAAGCTGGATTGATTTAATCCCATCTAAAAATGTTGCTGAATAGTGGTCACACTCCTTGGGCAACAAATATTGGCACAATTATGCAATAAACATTTAATTTGCCTGTATAGGCAGCCAAACCTGAACATTACAGAGGGTTGCCACACTTGAGGATGAGGTATATTGGCTACACCAGCAAAAGACCAAACCTGAAACACTGTGGAAAGGGACAATTCTTTACAAGAGAATATTAGGATGATCACAGTTACACTCCTATTCCCAGCAGTCACTCATCAGGCGGTACACTGTAGAAGGTGTCCTCCCCCATCCTGTGGTAGACAAACAGGTTCACATAAGGAGATCGGGATGGGGAACAATGCAGCCAGCCCGGAGTTCGCAGTAAAGCGGAGATGCAGATCTGCAACTGCATTCCTATGTTGTTGACCCCAGGAGCAGACATTACTTTTTCACCCCATCCAAGATCACTCCGGGGTATACATGTGCTTTCCATTTAAGGGAAAAGTTTCGTGGCATTGGGCGAAAAGAGATCCTAGACAAGAGCTAACACATCACATCTTAAGAACTAAAAAGAAACACAGTAGCAAGGCTTTTCAGCCCACAGTGCCAATTAGACTGCACTTCTTCTCAAAGGCTTTTCAGAAGCTGTCCATGCCCTTTCCTCAGGGAGCAAGAATAGCCCAAGAAACTCCTGCATTGAAAACAGGCCCAGTTCACACACCCCATGTCTTAGACTGCCATTATAAGAGATCACTACATTTACTTCAGAAAAATCATACCAAACCTGCAGTGGTGATGGGGAATGTTTTAAAGAAATGGTCAAATAACAGGATATAGAAGGAGGAAGGCTATAATCTTACAAATGACGGGGCAGCTGCACTCTGGAGGGAAAGAAAGTGAATAGACCAAAAACCAGCAGTTCCAACCCCTGAGTGATGAAGAAGCAGGGCCTCCTCTGTGCAATACATCACCTGGTGCTCTTCCAGTTGTCAACAGAACTCAGAGCAAGGGATCGCAGCATCCAGAGGGTCTTCAGAACCCGTCGGCCATCCTCCTGCACAAAGCACTGGCCCACCCAGGAGCTGGTGGAGCCTGGAAAGCAGAGCAGCGAGGCAAGATTATCCCAGCTCGCTCGAGATATAAAGGGGCCCAGACAACAGAACTCTTGATCACATGGCTATAGCTCTTATAAATTTGGACTGGCCATTACAGTGCAGAGAAGCAGTTAGAACTCTGACTATTGACAGGACCTTGTGAATCAAGAGCTTGAGGGATACATGCTAAATTCATTTAAGGGCGGTTACACACCCACCCCCCCCCCCAGCACACAACCAAATGTGTACTGCACTTCACTGATGAAATAGAGTGGGTCACCTATTTATGAAGCACTTGAGACAGATGAATTGTTCAACTTTTGCACAATTTTCAATCTCCATTTTGTATTATGCGTGTATGCATTTCTTCCCCAATGGTCTCCAATATGCCAACCGGCAACTGAACACTTAACATCACTTCCGCTCTGAAGTTCTGTACTTTCAATGACTAGCTCTTCACAGCTTCCTGTATGGTATGGCCCTGGCTACCAGAGCTGGCAAGATACCCACCTCCATCCCATGCCACAGAAAATGCAAAGGAAGGGCGTGGCCCCCGATTCAGGATCCCCTGCACATTGCCCTGCCGCATACTGCCCGCTGCCCCCTTCACGGTCTCCACAGAGCTGGTGAGGAGCCCCCTCAGCTCGGAGTCCTCCAGCACAGCCAGCTTCAGGACCGAGCCTAGGTCACTCACCCACACACCGGTCATATTGCACCCGGTGCCCTGCCAACAACCAGAGAGCCCCCGTCACCCAACAGTATCCATTCGGTCAGCTCCTGCACACTACAGACCGGGAGGTCTGGAGTTCTCCTCTGGGAAGAGAATAGATTGAAATGGACTAAAGTGGTTCATGCTCAAAAAGAAGAGTAGCCCACATAAAAAAAAAAAAAGATGGCAAACGGGTCATCTGCCGACTATGAAGTTTTCCCTCCCCCAACAAGGCCTTTGATAAAGTATTACGTTAACTTACAAGGCAAATCTTCCATTGCATAACGAATGTATACAGTACATTTATAGTTAGATCCTGCAAACCTTTTGGGGATATCCAATTGCTGAATTCTCAATAATGTTCCCACCCAACTAATCATAATGCAGTGTCGGCTACTTGAAGCAAAACGTAGAGCAGAAGAAGCACAAAATAACAGAAACAAGCACATCATAACTCATTTAGGGAGAAAGTTTAAAATTACTAGCACCCAACACCAAGAAAGAACACGTCACATTAACATTAATTAAAAAAAAAATCCGAAGTTGAAAATGATCAAGGACTGCTTTAGCCATCAAAGTGCACGTTTCTCTCGAATTAAAGATGATTAACACAAAAAGAAATACCTACCGATAGTCCAAGAGCTCTATTATTGTGAACCGACTAAATAACTAAATTTAAAGAAGTGAAACATGAATTCACCTCAACACACAGCGTCCACACAGAGAAGAAAAAGACTGGCAGCGCGGCGGATATCATTAGAGCCATTTCCTCGGGCTGTTTAACTTTAATGGATCTCTGCGAAGACTTTTTTGGGAACTCTCACAGCGAGCACCTCCGCGGCAAGCTTTAAAGATCATAACCTACAAAAGTCAATAAACCCAACGCGCTCTCGCGAGTCTTTTAAATCGAATCCGTACAATTGAATGATTTCTCTTCATTATGCAGTGAATCAAGATAATTGAAGTTGCGAGCGGACAATGAATATTACCGCATTAGTGTCAACTGATGACAGGATTTCGCAGGATGCTGGAGGTTCACCTATAAAACATGGAAATATACAGTACTGCAGAAATACGTACAGTACCTTCTGACACTGTCTTAAATTTACTGGAATCAATCAGCCTCATAAATTTCATGAAACATATTAGAAATACCTTCAGCACCTAGAAACGATTTAATCAGCTGCATGTATGATTTGAGGGCGCCACAGGGGCACTGGGTTCAATTCCAGACCTGGGGTGCTATCTGTGTGGTGCAGGGGCGTAGCCACCCTGATTGATCCTAGCCCTACCCAGGTTACATACTACCTGGTTACATTGATTGCGTTACATACTATGCTTTCTAATGTTACGTGTTTTGATTTTTTAATCGTATGTGATTTGCTTTTGTGACCAATAAGAAAATGATGTAAATATTGTGGGGCGGTGCATGCGTAGCCGTAGCCTAATTGGCTATCGTTGTCGTCAGACTCTCTTTGAGCTATCTAGCGTTAGGTTTTGATTTATTAGCCAACATGGCCAACAAATGCATATATCTACGTTTTTCAAAAAGCCGACTGTAGATGTCTAGACCAGTCCCGAAACAAATAAGACACATGAGATGCTACAGGCATCTTGGGCTTTAAGGAGTACAGCCTGGCTTCCCGAATACAACGTGCACGCGTTTGCTTGAAGCAGCTCGATACATGCTTGACCTGTGGAAGTTGAGCACGAAGAGGTTCTAAAATGTATCCTGTAAACAAATTACAAGTTTTGGAATGCGTGAATAATATTAAGATAATATTGACGGATAGATGGGAGTGTGCATTTTACAGATAACTATTCAGATCGCCTCTAAATGCCCTGCAGTATTTTTAACTGAACGACGTTTACAGAGCTAAAAATATAAAGTATGTATTTGACGCTTTTATTAGCAGTCCATTCTTGCAATTAAAGGTACGATGAATTAGCACTGTAGTGCGACTGTACCAATTCAGTGTTAAGTCTAGTGGAAAGTCACGAATTTCCAAATTAGGTGTCTTTTGGCATTAGAAATAGAATAAGATTACTAATTTCGTTGGTTTCATACAAGTTTAAAAGCATCATGAAGGATCAAACAAGATCTTCAGAACTTAATATTTTAATACCTTCGCAGTTTTTATTCTCATGGCGCCTCACTCGATATTACCCTTAGGGCGGTGCATTTACTCCAGCCTCTGAAACCCATACGTGCGTGCACGTTCTTCTGGTATATTTGTGCTCAAGTCCGCTGAATATTTAAGGCAAGGTAAAAGCTCCGTGAAGTTGGCAACCCTACAGACAGCACAAACGATTAAACCCACTTCATTCGTTAGTGCTACGTTTGTGCCGGTTTGTGCTGCTTTCGTTTCCGAGAAATAGCACCTTGATTTTTCGGGGTCGTGGCGTCATTCAGCCCCCCTACAATGTCGTAGCGAAACCAAACCGGTCTAATTCGTTTGTGCTACATTTGCTCCTTCCGTTCCCGAGATATAGCACCTTGGTTTTCCGGTGATTACATGACCGTGCACGGTGACTTTGACCTCCAGTGACCCCGTCTGCCAAGTTCAAGCGCTCTGTTACAGTTTAGCTCGTACCCTTAACATTTTAAAGATGATCAATATCTATAAACATAAGAGCCTCCTTAGATGTGAATAATACTGTAACGCACGGGGGTTCAGGCGAGCCCCCGACGGTGGGGGGCCGACCTAAAGCGGCAAGGGTGCCCACCTGAACCCCCGTGCGTTACAATACTAAGACATGACGCATGCCAACAAGTTAACCATCTATGACATAAAACTGTGGTTGTTATGTATGAAATCATCGTGATTATAATATCTATGGTTTATATTTTGTAAGGCACGTTTTCTTTTTCGTTGCCTACCGTGACACGCTGTTGCCAAACGCATAACTTGGATACCATTGCGACAAGAGCTCCGCAGCATGTGGATATCGCGGCAGTGCTGGCGCCTTGCTTCCATGCCACACTGCCACCGTTGTCGTAACAAAGGTCTCCTATCAGGACATGATATACTCAGATAGGACCTGTCTCGATATATGGACTTTGTGTCGCGAGATGGGGTCAGCATATACAGTAAGGGTATGTCCTATCGCAACACATGGACTCAATGTCCCGACATGGGGCGGGGCATTTTTGTCAGGCTATATCATATCGCGATATATGGGTTTCATCTCCCAACATGGGCGTGACAGTTTTGTCATATCGCGATATATGGGCTCCATGTCACGACATGGGGGCGCGGGGGGGGGGGGCATTTGTCATATCGCGATATAGGACCTTTCATGTCGCGACATGGGGGCGGGGCATTTTTGCCCTGGTATGTCATATCGCGATATGCGGGCTCCATGTCGCGACATGGGGGTGGGGCACTTTTGCCCTGGTATGTCATATCGCGATATGCCGGCTTCATGTCGCGACATGGGGCGGGGCATTTTTGCCGGGGTATGTCATATCGCGATATGCGCGCTTCATGTCGCGACATGGGGGCGGGGCATTT